AACGTGCTGTTACCAAATGGAGGTTTCTGTCAATATGTGAGACATTCATTGCTTGATGTTGTTGCACTCTTGTAAAGACCGTGTAAAGTAACAGAGAGATTTTAATGAAGTCCGATGTGTAATACTGGGCCCCAAAGCCTCTAACAGTGCAATGATAATTGTAGGGGCACCAGGGCACTGTCAAAAACCGCCTTCATTATATTCTAACTAACCTGACTAATTTGGTGGTCGCTAAGGACAAAAACAAAGGCCAACCAGCAGACATTTACCCATTCATCCGTGACTGAAAATCGCCTCTTTGACTTCAGACTTTTATGTTATTAAAAACCCCAAATCTCTGGCTTCCCGTGGAGGTGTGGTCGGCCACGGGGCAAAGGTTGCGTTATTTAATCGGATTGCTGCCAGGTACCCCGCAGACCTTCCTTCTCCTGATGAGTTTTAAAGCTGAGAGGCACTTAACATGCTTCCTGAGCTTATTTATCCTGCGCAAAACAAAAGAGAAATGATAATTCACCCAATGGAAGTCTCACTGTGCCTTCTGCGGATTCTCACATCCTCAGGAGAAAACTGTTATTATTAGATTTTGGATTTTAATATTATAAGACAAAGGTGCAAATTGGGTAGCGTGTGAGCTACTGCAATGAGAGGAAATCACTTTGATTAATAAAAAAACCTCACGCAACGAACAGAAATAGTGCAATGAAAAATATTACTTTGATATTCATATATGGATTGATGACAGCCGCAAATATTCACATTTACTTTAATTTAATTTAATTGAAGGATGTAATCCTATTATGTGAAGTGGAATTGTAGCTGCTCCGTCATCTTTGCTCAATTTGATGCTTTTCAACCCCTTTAAGATCCCTGTTTCAGCTGAGCTCAATGTATTCTTTTTCTACGTTTGTTCTTAAGTGTGAAACAAAGTCAACAGCATCTTGATGAAACAGAGTGCGTTCACTAGACACAACAATGATGTTTTCTCCGGGACTGCGTTTCAGTGTTATCATCGTTGTCTTATCATCCAGATTTTATTGAGAGAGAACAAAGTATATTGTGTTATATTTACTCTGGCATAATGAAATGTACTCCCTCAGAGTGAGTGTTTGCCTATTGTTCCAATAGGGAATGTCTCAAAGCCCCCCTGCCGGGCTGTAATTGACTTAATCTTTTCCATTAGCCCAGAGTTGCCAAAGTCAGCTGTCATCTGCTAACTGTTGTAACAAGGTCCCTTTTATGCTCTCTGATGGATGTGAGTTTTAGCTAAGGGACTTAAGGGTGATTTTTAACCCCTTAGCCTACAGTGGCACTGTACACAAACATATACACATCTCCCCTGCTGACAGCTCTTATAAGCACAAGCACAAAGCTGACAAACTCTTACTTATTCTTGTCAGCTGATGGGGGCCAGCTGATCTTATTAAGTTTGGTAAATACCCCTGCAGACAGACATAAACAGAACTATAACTTCCAAGCATCTTCAGCCCTCCACAGAAAGCAAATAACACATTGTATTTGGAGACCAACTTCGCACCACTTTAATTTAAATAATGAGAAATGTCAATATTAGTTTCTTTTCTATTTTCAGAAAGCAAGCTACAGCATTAAAGCATGTACCTTTTTTATGTGTAAATTAAACACTGTCATTGCCAGAAGATCAACATCACATTATACACAGTGAGTGGCAAAGAATCCATTATATAGTGGCAGCCATAATGAGTTGTCTGAGAATAAACAATAATGCATCATCTCGTTGCATTAGCGTTGATTGATCACTATGAAGCCTTTGTAAAGTATTGATGGGTTTATCATGAAGAATCTTAACTTGAAAACAGACGATGATAACGGAAATGATCGGTTTAAAAAAACTCACTTTCACTTTGAACTATGGTGCATCACATCATTAATTATGTGCTTTGCGCTGGGTGAGAGACAGATTAAAAAATATGTAGTGCAAACAATTACTGTTCTGCTTGCATGCAGATCTGAAAGAGAATATAATTAATCATTAAACAATAATTCCATACTTGTAATTCTTTTTACTGTAGCAATGTAGCAGCTGAAAAGACCCAAAGACTGGCAGGCCTAATTAAGAGCTTATAGACCTTCTGTAATGACTTTGAATTTCTGTTGCCAGCTTGAATATTGCATCCGTGTTCATTTTCAGAAGCGGGGTCAAAACATGGATGATACATTCTGCATCTAATTGCCAGAGAGCTGCACTGCAAATGTCAAATAAGTTCTTCGCTCGGTTGCACAGCACAGACGGACGACCTCCTGTGAAGTCAAACCAGCCAAGTAAGACGCACATAACTGCATTTCGCAAATGCATTAATTTGGTCAAATGCATTTCCAAAATATAAAATCTGAGTTTTACTGAGTTTAACACGGGAACTCCGACACGGTGAGGGGAAAAGCAGCAATTAACATACTGGGAACTAGGTCAGGAGACGCTTTGACAAAAGCAGACATCGTAAACAAATATGTGCCCTAGATTTTAAGACCCTCACTGAACATAAACCTTTGTAGAAAGCGTTTTTTGCTTCTCAAACAATCTCCCCCTACATTCACTCAAGGGTAATGTTCTAAGGGAATGTTTCTCCATAACAGCGGAAGGGGTCTATGACTTCTCCAGGTATGCAGCTGCCACAACAGAGACGATAACAAAGTGCCACCGGCGGCCGCAGACAGCTCTGCTCCAGATTGGGCTCATCAGTATTTTGGCAAGGAAGGAAATCTTTTTCTGCCCTCTAGTGGCAAGTGAGCGTAGTAATTTATTGAGGTGATCACAGTTCAAATTAAATGCTGCATAAGATCATTGTACATCTACATGAAGTCAAAGAAAATGATTTATGAATTAAAAATTAAGCATTTGTGGGGTTTTCACAACTGAAAATAATTTCAAAGCTTTTTTGCTGTGGTGTTGCATTAAATTTTTACTCATGTAAACCCTAAACATTAGCTGCTAATGTTTAGTTGGGTGCATTTTATTGGCAAGGACTTATACATGTGCCATGTGCCTTTTCTTTATATTGTTTAATGTTCAAATTAAACTTAAACTTAAGAAATCTGTGGTTCAGAGTAATTAGTGTTAATGTAATTAATAGTAATGTTTTAAAGTGATATTTTACAAAATAATACAAATTAGGCTAATTAGAGCCATATTATCCAGTTGTGTTAAACCATGATCACTAATGATTTTATTATTATTTTTTATGGTGTATTGAAGTTTTACATTACAGTTACAATTAATGCTTGGGAGAGGTCCAATCTGCTGGCATTGATAGCGCAAACAAGATTGCCTTAAAGATGTCTTGTGATAATTGTGGGATGTTAATGGCTGCACTGATGGTAATAAAAACCACAAGTCTTCCGAGGAAGGGAAATGCATCTTAAACGGCATCCTCACACACACGGACAGTATTTGCCAGAATCTCACATTTCTTCAGGACCTAATACATAATTGCAATTACAGAGAAGAACACAGGAAATAATGAATGTGAACCCACTCTTAATGTGCATGAACATCAGCCTCATCACCATTGTGAGGCAGCTTAAGAAATTCAACCTGCCAGTGACGATGATGGTGAACTTCTACACGAGTCCATCCTCTGCTCCCCCATCACCGTCTGGTACGCTGCAGCCACGGCCAAGGACAAGGGCAGGCTGCAGCGTGTCATCCGCTCTGCAGAGAGGGTGATCGGCTGCAATCTGCCGTCTCTCCAGGACCTGTTCGCTTCCAGGACCCTGAAGCTCGTATACAGAGTCCCCCACTGGCCGACTCTGACATCCCTTTTTCCACCGGCCACTCCATTCACACTCACATACACCTGTTACTTTCACATACACTCACAACACAGTTGTGTAGAGTAGGGTTATGTGTTCACTAGTGCTCTTTATTTTTATTTGTAAATTGAAAACATTATGTGTTGTCCATTGTCTCATTGTCTTACTGTTAGGCACCAACCGCCATGTCAAATTCCTTGTATGCCTAACATATTTGGGCATTCCCGATTCCTGAATATGTTTGAAATAAAAGTAAAAATCCATAATTTGACATATGTATTTCCAGAGTTTTTGTATGGGGTTTGTATTTTTGTTTACTATTCCTATCTGGATCGCAATTAAATGTCCCCAAAGATGTTGTTGTACACATGTTTTTATTGGTCAAACCTGCAATACTGCACCCAATTTTACCCCATTATTTTAGCTTTGGAAAAAGGCTTTTTCAATTAAAAAAGATCTGATCAGAACTAAAAGGAAAATTTGAAAAACAGAAAACCATGGTTTGGTGCAGGGTGTCAATTGAAGATCAGCTGTCTCTCACAGGCTTGATGGGAATGTTGACATTGGCCGTTTTTTGTTGTTTTTCCTTCTAGATGCTAGATGCTCATACTATAGCTAAAGAAGATAAATATCTTTAACTGTCTTTAAGCACATCGTATATAGCTGCTTCACTGGTGATTCGACTTTGTTAGCTCATAATTAAAATATGTGGCTGGGATAAAATCTCCCAAGATCTGTAACAGGTGTTTTTAATCAGGGCCAGGGAACTCCTGGTATATATTTATAAAGCACTACAACAATATAAGTTGAACACAGGTTGGACACAGTCAGAGGGGTATGCATTTGCCTATATCATATCTGAGCACAAAATATATATGTCAAAATGAAAGAAATCACAAATGAGTAGGCCTATAGACTTTTGTAAGGGACTGTCGTGTTCAGTGTTTGGCGTTTGAGATAGTATGTCCCTTCAGCGTTGCCATAGCGTTTCCATCTGAACAGAAAACAAGTGAATACACGCTACATTGTTCCTACTACTTTAAAATGCATATTCTGACAATTTTAATAATTTAAAAAATAATTGAATCACCTTAACATGAAAATGAAAAAAGTGTACCTGGTTGCCTTGATGGGAGACACCCCCCCCCGCCCCCCCAACGCCCACACTCTTAAAACTTGGGCTGCACCCGCACAGAGAATCGGAGTGGAAAAGGGCGGTGATGGCTGAAGACGCGCGGCCCGTCGATTGGGTTTTAGCGGGCAGTTTTCCCTCCCGATTTGACGCATGTATTTCTGTAGAAAGGTGCACGAAGAGCCACGGCACTGACGCTCCAATGGGTAGAAGGGGTGGAGGCGCGCGTGATGTGTCTTTAATTGACAAGAGGATAATGCGAGCGCGCAGGGTTCCTGTCTGACAGCCGCGCGCTCCGCGTCTCCTCTCCGAGCGGGTCCGGACTAAATCACAACCCCAAAGCAACAGGAGGACGGTAACGTTATTTTTACATGATATATGGCATGTGTCTAACGAAATTGCGTCGGCTTTCGTAACATATTTTGTTGTCTTATTTGTAAACTGTGAAGTAAAAAAACAACAACTTTAAACTTTTTATGTTTCAGGTTAAACCGGGGAAGACGGTTTTCACTTTAACGAAACACACAATAGTTTGAATGAACACACAACGCCCACAATTTTTAGGCCAAACACGTTGTTAAAATAGCACAAGGCCAGTAAACTAATTCTGCGTTATGAGCTTTATTTCTCATTTGGTGTTCATATGGTTAAAGACTGTTTTTGGTTGGGGGCTTTTCACACTGATTCCGTTCCCACTGTGTCTGAAACACTGAAACCTGAATTCATATTCTTCCTTGTCTTATTATTTCTCAACCATCCTCAGTTAAGATTGTTGAGGCTGCAGCTGCGATGTCACAGCTGTATTACAGGAAAGCTGACAGTTCGTCATACAGGGACTGCATCCCTCTGCGCATCGTGCGGGCGGAGTCGGAGCTCTCCACCCTTGAGAGGGCCTACCTGGGTGCTGTGGAGAAGGGGGACTATGCCAGCGTGAAACAAGCCCTGGAGGAGGCTGAGATCTACTTCAGGATCAACATCAACTGCGTCGACCCCCTGGGGCGCACAGCTCTGCTAATTGCCATCGAAAACGAGAACCTGGAGATCATCGACTTGCTGCTCAGCTATAATGTGCATGTGGGTGATGCCCTGCTACATGCCATCCGCAAAGAAGTGGTGGGGGCCGTGGAGCTGCTGCTCAACCACAAGAAGCCACGTGGAGAAAAACAGGTAGTAAACTTTCGTTTGTACAGTTTACATTCCCACAGGGGGTTTCTTGTGTTATTGGAGTTGTTGTTCATATCCTTTCTTATCACACTCAATTCCATTTTAATCATTTTGGTTGCAGTTAGAATATCCATGTTTCCTCGGGTTTGGTAGCCACTTTTAAGCTACCAGGAGAACCCATTATAACCATTTAGGTCAATTTCCCGACAGCTGTCAGTGAGTTTTTTTTAATCTGAAATGGATAGAGATAAAAAAAAAAGTGACAATGGGCTTTCCTTTGTTTCAGACATGGCTGTGTTTATTTTTCTGCCTAAAAGTTTCAGTATTGAGCTTTTTTGGGGGGCTTCCGTCTTTTGGGGTTTCAACCAAAGAAATCATTCTCCATTTCCCTTTTTTTGTACATATATTATTGCCACTGCTGGTTGTGCCTGTAATGGACTTATTGGATTGTATGAAGACAAAGGGGAAAAAAAAGGATGCAGTTGCTTTTAAGCAGGATGGTATTTTGAGGCAAGCTGAACCACAAAGCCATTAGCTCTGTGGTTGTTTGACAAGACTGTCAGAGACCCAAGAGAAATGAAATTTGACCCATTCAAACCAGTTGTTTCAGTATGAGAGGTTGAAAAAGCCACGCTCTTTTGTCAACTTAAAAACATACTCTCATCATATAGATTGATTCGGTTGGTTTGTGCTTGTTTCCCGCCGCGCGGTTCCTGAAAAAGGTCCCACCAATTCTACTGGACAAACAGTTTTCAGACTTCACCCCAGACATCACTCCGATCATCCTAGCAGCCCACACCAACAATTACCAGATCATCAAACTGCTTCTGCAGCGAGGTGTTTCCATACCTCAGCCACATGCTGTGCGCTGCAACTGTGTGGAGTGCATTTCCGGCTCAGACGTGGACGGCCTGCGCCACTCGCGCTCCCGTCTTAACATCTACAAGGCCCTCGCCAGCTCATCCCTGATCGCCCTCTCCAGCGAGGATCCGTTCCTCACTGCGTTTCAACTCAGCTGGGAGCTGAAGGAGCTGAGCACAGTGGAGAATGAGTTCAAGTCTGAGTACGAGGAACTCTCCCGAATGTGTAAACAGTTTGCGAAGGACCTCTTGGACCAGACGCGGAGCTCTAAAGAGTTGGAAACAATCCTCAACTATCGCGATGATATCAACCCTCTCCTGGATGAGATCACCAACGATCTGGCCCGACTGAAGCTGGCCATCAAATATTGCCAGAAGGAGGTAAGCTGCTGATTGTGATCCCCTCTTCGTCACATTATGCCAGTGTCCTACGGCGCTACAGAAGGATTCTCTTGTCTTAATGACGATTTCTCTTAGTAACACCGGCACACACAGAGAAACTGAAACTTGCACTGTAGACTCACACAACAAGGTGGACAACAAGGAATACATGTTGCATTATTTGAACAACATGGACGGGATAACAAGAAGGGTTCCAAGATGAGTTGTAAATGTCCACAGATTGGTGGATTTGTCCTTGGGGAGTTTAGAGCAACACATAATTGCCTTCTGGCTCTTAGCAATGCATTACAGCAGCACTTTGAGACAGTCCCATGACAATTGGATAATTGGGGATAATGATGGAATAAGTGAAGACCATTTCCCCGAAATACATACTAATACTTTAATCAGGGAGGGAACCTTTTACCGTATTTTTCCATCTTTGGCGTATTTATCCCTTCGATACAATAGTAACTAGTAGAGTGTCTAGTATAATAGTAACAGAATGAGATACGTCAAAAGTGTTTAGTATTAAGCAAGACTATCTAATCCTCACTAGAGAGGTTTATAACAGAATATATATGTAAATGTCAATAATTGAAATGGACTTTTGCTTAACACAGGAACCGGTGATAACAAGGGAAGCAGGTAAAGACTTCTGGGTGTTTAGGAATAGATTTATTTGGGCCAATTTGAATTACATCTTAAATTGATCATCACTGCATTAATAATGAGACTACTACTAGTATAACATGGTATATACTGTTAAATTGCCCGTGTAAAGTTTGACATACTGAATGACTAGTCACTCGTGAAAAACAGCAAGCCACGCCTTGTTATTGTTCTATGCGTGTGGGCCACATCCTTTTACTCTGACCGCCCTTTTAATTTCACAAATGTACTATTGGAATACATTGTAGAGAATAGTACCCAGCTATTTAAAATGCTCACCTTTTAATGAACTAGAATAATGCTGGTGATGTATGCAGCTCAGATTGCTTCTTTCTGTTCTCCTCCTCCCCGTCACCCATTTTACTCAATCTGCTCTGGTTGTGTTTTCTGGGACCCTGAATGGTAAAATTAGGTATGTGTGGTAAAATTGTTGTAGATTGAAAAGTAAACAATTTGCTTTTATTTATTGAGCAGCTCTTAATAATCAGGTGGCTAAACTTTCACCTTCGTAAAAATGTCATGTATACATAAATATCAAAATCTGTTCTCAACAGATGCCATCTTTTGCCTCCGGTCATAAACGGCAAGTCAACATCTCAGAAGGACAAATAGGAGACATTTAAGATGTCAGATTCAGCATTCATGGATGACGTCATCATCCCCCGTGTAATGCTATCTAATCTAAAACCATAATGGCTGTAACTTGGTTAAACTGAAATCAGCTTCCATCCCCATCTGCAGATGTCCAGCAGATGTTTATATCAAATCTCAGTCAATTATTCTTAGCAAAATTCAAAAATGTTTTCCCACTTGAAACTTTTCTCTGGCATGGTTACAAGATACAAGTGGGTTATTTGTTTTGTGTTGTGAGTTTCATGTTGGGATTCAACTGAAATCTTGCGATTTGATTTCAGTTAAGCCGCGCAAAAAATGCTATTGAAAAGATACAGAACAAAAATGATCCATTTGCAAGGTTCTAAATCAACATTGGGATAAATGGGGCATTTACTATTGAGCCTCTTAAGAATCAGAATGTGAACATGCTCAGAGGAGTTTATACCTGGTTTAATGTTCATAAAACAAACATTACTATTTAAAAACATTAGATGCTGGACACCGCTGCATAATATACATGTTTATTCTATGGAGAAGCAATTATGTCAGCAATGTTTGCAGGGATTAAAAACAACAGAAGTTGCACATTTATTCTTATTTACCTACACTTCACTAAACACGCTCACTCAAATTGATTGAAGATAAATAAATAAATGTAAGTGTTAGTTAGCTTTATAAATCAATCATAGATGAAACAATACCATTTTAGACCAGAACATGGTAATCCTACAAATTTAAATTGTGATATTCAAATTGTCAGATACCAACATTCGGCTTTGGGAGATACGTAGAAGTATGTATTGCAGTGAGCACCATGATGAAAACATTTTTAATACAGCATTTACTGTCTTTAGTTGTTAGTTTCCTCTGTAGTTCTTTTTTTTTTAAATTTAATGCAGATAGTTTATGCTTAATTGTCAGACTAGAATTCACAGATTAGGAGGAAGGTGATACCGACTTGATACGTCTTTCTTTTTCTCTCCCTTACTTCTAGTTTGTTGCTCAGCCCAACTGTCAGCAGCTGCTGGCATCTCAGTGGTATGACGAGTTCCCAGGCTGGAGGCGGCGTCACTGGGCAGGAAAACTCCTCACGTGTATCTTCATCGGCCTCCTCTTTCCACTTTTTTCCATCTTCTACATTATCTCTCCGAAGAGCCGCTATGGCTTATTCATCCGTAAGCCTTTCATCAAGTTCATCTGTCACACTGCTTCCTACCTGACCTTCCTCCTCCTGCTCCTGCTGGCCTCGCAGCATATAGCCACTGAACAAAATGACTTTCAAGGCCCAGCACCCACCACTGTCGAATGGCTGATCCTGCCCTGGGTGCTTGGTAACAACACACACACACACACACACACACGAACATACCGCGGTAATTCTGATGTTATCGTTAACTATCGTACGTCTTCGTACTGTACTCAAATAAGATTAAGTTTATTATCGTATATTCTTCTTTCCTTTGGAACTACACTTGAGTGATGATGTTGACAAATGTATCTTTGTTCTTCTCTTTTCGAGGATTTGTATGGACTGAGATCAAACAGATGTGGGATAGTGGTTTAGAAGACTACATCGATGACTGGTGGAACTTAATGGATTTCATAATGAACTCCTTGTATCTTGCAACCATTGCTCTGAAGATTGTTGCCTATGCAAAGGTATCGTGCATCTTACAATTCAGGTTGATTGACAATCTAGTCTACTAACTCATTGTTATTGTTCTCGTTTTTTTTTGTTTTTTTTTACAGTACAGGGGGCCCAAATCCAGAAAGAGCTGGGAAATGTGGCATCCGACTTTGGTTGCAGAGGCATTGTTTGCCATTGCCAACATCTTCAGCTCCTTGCGCCTCATTTGCCTTTTCACAGCCAACTCCCACCTGGGCCCCTTACAGATCTCACTGGGCCGCATGCTGCTGGACATCCTCAAGTTCCTCTTCATATACTGTCTGGTGCTTTTAGCCTTTGCTAATGGCCTCAACCAACTCTACTTTTATTATGACACAAATGAGGGCAGCAACTGCAAGGGTATTCGTTGTAAGGACCAAAACAACGCCTTCTCAACGCAAGTTGGAGTTCTTAAATATATTGTCCCTGACGAGTCTGCATTGTTAATAATTGAACCACGTTGTTTGATGTATGGCTTGTTGGTTTTTCAGGCTGTTTGAAACGCTGCAGTCATTGTTTTGGTCTGTATTTGGCCTGATTTCCCTCTACGTGACCAACGTGGAACCACGTCATGAATTCACAGAGTTTGTGGGCAGCACCATGTTTGGCACGTACAACGTCATCTCCCTAGTGGTGCTTTTGAACATGCTAATTGCAATGATGAACAACTCCTACCAGCACATTGCTGTGAGTCCTGCAGCTCACACATTTTTATACCTTTACCACCTGTATTTGCCATATGCTCCTTGGCACACTGTTTCTGCTTGTTTTTCTTTTCAGGATCATGCAGATATAGAGTGGAAGTTTGCAAGAACTAAATTATGGATGAGCTATTTTGAAGAAGGGGGCACTCTGCCATCTCCATTCAATATAATACCCAGTCCCAAGTCAATTTATTATTCATTCGGATGGATATATTCCCGTTTGTTTAAGAGATCAAGTTTAAAAAGACTTGAAACCTTTGAAACGTTGGGGGTAAGTATTTTCTAGATATTAGTTGCTTTCTCACCTATGGATTAGGTTTCCAATGCATGTCTGGTATTATAGAGTCAAAGCAGGTGGTTCTATAAGAATGAAGAATAAATTAAATCACGTTTTATCTTCAGAAATGGTTTAGTCACTCATTAATCCATAATATCTTGTATTGAGAAAGGGCAATTCAAGGAAATAACCTTAAAGTAAATTCACCTTACCCTTGCGAAACCTTAAATAACACGTCACTTTGTTAATGTACCATTTTGTTGTTTTGTTTCAGAGACGTGGGGCCGAAAATGTAAGATTAAACCATGAGTATCAGGTAATAACTTGTATTACTCAATGACCTGTTAAGATTCAATCATTTTTTGATGAAACTGTAAATAAAAACGACTGCGTTTTTGTTTTTTTAACTGGATACATTCCGTATCTTTTTCAGGAGGTTTTGAAGCACCTCATGAAGCGCTACGTCGCAGCAATGATCAGAGATGCCAAGACAGAAGAGGGACTAACAGAAGAGAATTTCAAGGTAGATCACATTCTCCCAAACTCCCGGTCAATAGCTAAAGTCTATTTTGTCATTTCTGCCGTTCAATCTCTGGTTGTCTATAATTAATAGGAGCTCAAGCAGGATATCTCCAGCTTCCGTTATGAAGTCCTCGGAATGATGAAGGGAAAACCTCAAGGTGGGGTCACACCCAACATCGCAAGCTCCAACTTGGCTTACCCCGGAAACTCATTCAAGTATTCTCCCAAATTCCCCATTGATGAACCTCAACGGAAGCTGAGCATGTTTGACATGGTCGCCCCCACCCTGCAGAGTGTAGCTGGCACCACCACCAACACCACCACCACCACCACCACCTCTTTGGGCTCTAGCAAGCAAGCCCAGGCACAGTGTTCAGTTGTTATTTCCTGCATAGGTCAGACTCAGAATGAGCTAAACAAAAATGTCTCAGATGCCGGGTTCCTTCGGGGAGGGAGATTGGCTTCTCAGAAATATGATGAAATATACTCAGAGGAAGATCCTGCAACATTTGGTGGACAAAACCCAGAACACCTTCAGACTGATAGAGGGATCGTTGAAGTCTTGCAGAAAGTGGACAAGACCGTTCAAGAGATTGAACATTCTTGCAAAGAGCACCTAAAGTTAAAAATTGTCCATTCCAATTGAAATTAATTTCTTATTTTAATGAAATGTTGGTAATGTTTTAACACCGTTTGGGAACTACAAACCGTTTTGTAAAAGACGTTTAATCTCACGATTAAAATTCGAACCATAATTTCAGTTAAAATAATCTTGTATTCTGTAATATATATCGGAATAATGATAACATCTTATCTCACATTATAATACATGCACTCTGATGATTGAGCAAAGTTACAGTTAACTAACCCTCAGTAAAGGCTGGAATTTTAAAGCAAGTTTTTAATTCCTATTTTACCAAGAGCATTTATTTCCAATGCGTCTTGACAACCTGCTGCCTGTTCTATCCTCCTCCACCCTGGACAGTCTTTTGACTGTGATATGCAAAATCATCTGCTCTAGAGAAATAATATTCACCATATACTAATTGTATAATTTCTCCTCTACTAGGTTAATGGAAGTGTATTTCAATTTAATTCCAGAACAAATTCTATGTTGAACTTGAATTGTACTGTGTACTGTCAACTTGCAATGTAACACATAGTTCAGAGCTTAGGGTCAGCTTCTCTTTTACTCCACTATTCTCCTCCCTAAAATGTTTAGGGTGAGAGAAACCGGTTTTGTTCATATTCTGTCGATGAAACCGAAGACGCATGCAATGCTCTCCAAGTCAAATTGGTTGATATCTGTATTCCTTATCAGTGTGTGCCATATACTATAAATTGCAGCTATTTATTTGTTACTTGTAACGAAATGAATCTGCAAATAAAAATGAATAAAAAATGAAAAATGAATGTTTTTTTAAATTTAGAGTGTATGTTATGTTAAATATGTATGTTACATATGTTTCCCCCCTTTCAATATACTGTACTTTAGCTATTTATAAATATGTACACAGCTATCAGACCGAGAAGATGTTACAACAACGACAAAGAAAAAACACTTTTTACATTTTTGCCTCCCAATTGATTTGCTTTACTGCTGAAATCTTTGCTCTGTTGTTGCAAAAACACTTCAGTAGATAGTTTGTTACCTTCTCTCTGGCTATATACGTATATAGAGTGGTCCCTTTAACTCAAAAAGCAGCTTTGAACCACTAACATCAAGTGTTTTGTGGTACAGAATTACTGCATCGATGCCTTATGTGGATTTGTGTAGAGTAGGGATTAATAATGATTAATTGTATTGGTGTGCTATCAAAGTTTAGTTGCTTATATTTTGAGGTTGCACAGATATTCAATTTCACACCTTCATAGCTTAAGCAACCAGCTAGCTGAGATCTTTAGGTTTCTGTTACCATACCAGCTGTGAGAAATTCACACTGTCTTTGGGAAGGCAATCGATTTCCACTGACTGACTCCAAGTAGGAGCTTAATAACAAAATACAAAGAAAGGAAACAGCACCCATGAGCAAGATATTTGTGTCACGTGTGGTGTTTGTGTCAGTGTGTTAAGGTGATGGAATCAGTGGGTGTCTGATTCACAGAGTAAAAACCCTCCACATTTTATTGTCTCTGCAGCTAGTTCGTCAGTACCACGACCCCTCCATGAAGTTTTTACTTTACGTTACTTTTGTTGAGTGTGTTGATTCAAAAGTTATTGTGCTCCAGTCTGAAGGAAAAAAGAAGTCTATACAGAGATTTAATGTGTAAGTGCTTTCTAAACGGCATTAAATAATGACATTCATAGACGGATCATTCCCTTCAAAATATTATATATTTTTATGGAAATGTTCTGTTTAACAATAGACACATGATACGTGACACAAGTCACAGAATAATGACACAAGTATTGGATGCTGGACTGGCTCTTCCTCCCTTTCTAAGGGTCCACTTGGTCAGGGTGACATTTCTTTTCTGCCGTTTATAGTAAAAAGTTTTGTACCTGTCAGATAAAATTGCTACCATTAAATTACAAATGTATCATGTTAGTATTTGTGTTAAGACATTTTGAAATGTTATTTTTTTTATACTTTAAAAACTTGGTAGGGTTCTTATAACATTAAAAAATTATCAACATTGTGATGTAGTAAAGAAGTCTTTAGTCTTTCAGTCTTTACTTTATAATTTACCTTTGTATTTATCACCTCTCCAATGTAAAAAAGTAAACCGTTGTGAAAATATTATTCTTTAATAGTGATGCTCATTAATACTCGCTGCCTGCACTCTTTCCCACCACTTGGTGGAGCAAACTACATTTTGAAAGATTTATCCAGTCTGGAATTTATTTTTTTTCAGAGCCGTGGATTGTTGAATGTTCCTTTGTTTGCAGCGCGAATGAATGTGACTTTAACAAAAGCAATACAGCAAGAATTTGTATCCCATCATGATGTGCAGAACTATTATGTATCAATGCGATGAATGTATAATTACTTTGTCTTACAGGTCTTAAACCAAATATTGAGCATATGTCCTAATGTTTTTACCTTTTTATCTATTGCATCTATATATGCAATAACATTTTGTTAAAGCAGTCTTAACTTTCTATGTTACTTCCTAAAGCTGTAATGGGACTTCTAGAAAATGATCAAAACAGATTAAGTAACCATGTTAGATTGTCTGAACGTGACAAAGTTTTCTTTGATAAATGCATCAAACAGGTAAATATTACAAAAAATATAGTGAATGTGGTGGCGTCCCATTTATTCCCATTCATAATTTATTTAAATACTAATCATCACACCAAAAACCCAATCTGTGTGTAGAATGTGTGCTTTGAGAGAAACTGGGTTGTCAGCCATGCATGAAATATTTCCATCATCCATGAGTGGAGGGTGAGACTTGCGGTATATAAACCCCCACTCTGCGTCCGCTCCCATCACTCTGCGTCTGGAGGGTCTGGCTTACAAATCAACAATGAAGCTCCTTTTTTTAGCTGCCTTTGCACTCTTTGTGCTCTCCACATTTGACCATGTTGAATCTTCAGCTTATGACAAAATTGTTGCCCACAGTCGCATCAGAGCAAGAAAAGAAGGGTAAGCTTATCAGTATGTTTTTATACTCTAAATATCTCTACATGCCCTTTTGCCTGCAAAAGCATTGAGCCTTGAGCATGTCAAGCATTTTTCTAGTAATTTCATCATATTTGTCTTCTATATTGCAATGCAGTCCCAGTTGTTTAAAATATATAAATTGTCCATTTATGACATATTTTTTAGAATAACTGTATCTCTGTTATGTTTATGTGTAAGGTTATACTAGTCAAATCTGACAAACCAGCTTTGTATCCAAAATGTTGCTATCATCAATATTTTATTGGCTGGTTTCAGAAGCAACAAGGCCAGTTTCCAAGTATACAAATCTTGACAGCCTAATGTCTGAGCCAGCAGGGCTGTTTGTCACATAATGATTATTGTTTGCCTTTTGCCTTCTGATTAATGCTTCATTCATTTTCCTTTCCCTATATTTTCATCAGACCCAATGTGTGCGCGCTGCAGCAAGTCATGGGGACCAAGAAGAAGTACTTCAGCACTTGTCGCAATTGGTACCAAGGGGCCATCTGTGGAAAGAAAGCGTAAGTGTTGTTTCACGTTTCCCAAATTATTGATGTTTATCCTGATAATCAGTTGTATAAGTTTTGTTGAATGTACCATTCTTCTTCTTAAAGGGTTTTAATGGCACTGTGAATGTCTCCATACAGACAGACATCTGTTACTGTACTTGGACTAAACTAATGCTTAAAATGAAAAACACATTTGTGGACACAGTCCAAAGATCTTATTTGATCCTATATGCTGAGGAAGCCCGGTCGCCGATGAGCGGTGAACCACTGATTCCAGACTATGATGTGGTTGCAAAATGTTGACTGTATTCATGAATGGAAAAGTGTTCAGCTCAATCATTCAGCCTCTTTTTCTCTCATTATTCCAGCCCCCTCAGCACTTTTGTAGTGAAGCCATGGTTCTTTTACAGTCTCGCTCTCTCTCTCTTCCTCACAAACACACACATTCAGCCTTCTTGCTGCTTGCATTATAGTCACGCCTGGTACTCCAGACAAGCTCAGCTCTTCATGATGAATTGGGTCATTGACATATATCGGAACCAGCCACGATGTTCTATCTATTTCAATTGGAGCCTGACATTTTTTTATTAGTGTGTATTGTAAAAGTCATTTGAAAATAGATAATTATTATATATATCATTACATTCCCCCCCAAAAAACTTTAAAGATCTTTATTTCAATTCAATTATATGTATATTTGCTTCAGTCAGCATGTGTTTCGAACATGACCGCCTTTGTTCTAAATGGAAAACCTCATATATAGACATGTATTGTAACAGCGGGAAAGCATAACTATCTTCAACTTATGAACTAATTTAGGCTAACTCTCTGGCCAAAAAATGGAATATGCTTAGATTGCCCTTTTTACGTGGTGTCTGGCAACTGATGCTACGCAACTTTCTCTTCCCGACCAAAGTAGTTGTACTTGTCCTACTGAGGTTGATTTAATACGATTATTTCGGCTCCCAGAGCAGCTTTCTCTTTTCTTACAAACCCAACTGCCCATTAGTGATGGGTTTAATTGTAATAAACCCATAATACGTTTCACATAATGATCAAGGTTCTTGGAACAGTTATTTTTGAGAGATGCTGACAAGTGAAAAGTTTCCTACGCCACGGCCAAATATGATCCCTCTGTGTGGGAGACCAGTGTGGGTTTTGCTGACTCTGCCCCAGCAGGACTTGTGTGATCTCATCCCAGTGCCCCCAAATCCATTCAACCGTTCAACCGATTCAAATACAGCTGTTAAAGATTTGCAGGCAGCCATGACCCAGAAGCCTCGGCCGTTACGCTGCCTGAGGCCGCTGAAATATGCTTTTCTTTTTCTTCCATTTTTTACTGTTGAAAAAAAAGTTTTTTCTTTTTTTAAGGACGGTTATAATCTCACTGTTGGAGGTCTGATTATTCACTCCAATAATATATTTTTTATTATGTCCATAACCATGACAAAGTCACTCTTGTCTATGTTCAACTACATGTGGTGCACATATGGAGCTTTCCCGCAGTGCCAATCTTACCGGCCACCTGCTGTGAGAAGCTGCTAAAACTTAATTTCCTTAAACAAACAAATAAAAGGGTTCTTGTTACATACAATTAAAAGTGATCAGTTTGTAAAAGACAAAGAATGTATGTTTTTATTACTTGTTATGATTATTTAAATAAAGTTGAGCTAGTGGAAATCTAGTGGTCTAGTGGAAGACTAACAAAAGTCTACAGAAACACAATCCCCAGCCAACTCTTTATGTCCCGGGTTTCTTTTATTTGAGGTTTCTGTTTTTTTCAAAAGGCTGGAAACAATGATAGAGTTCAACATGTTCAAACCTGCTGGCCCAAGGGGCATAGAGTCATGTTTATATGTAGCAGCTGCTTTTTGTATTTTACTACCCTCCCAGGGCTACATTGTCCATCATTATTCACAGCGGAGTATCTCAACTTTTTATATAACTATCACGAGACCCTTTAAATGTTCCTTGTCACCCAAAATTTCCCAAAACTCAACTGTAAATAGAAGGCAGTTTTAAGACCAAAACATTTCTGAGGTTAACCAAATAAATACAATGGTTCCAACTAATTATTTAGCTTCAAAAATGACTCACTACTATAAATCTACTACTACTGTCATGCCACCATAATCCTTGAGGCACCCTTTCCATTAGGTTTTGGCCCAAGCTGAAGGATCCCATGGTCTGTTGGAGTTATAAAAGAGATAATGATTAACATCTGGAAACACTCAATACAGCAATGTGAGACGACGCTTTGGATCAAAGAAATAAAAGAATTTCAATGCAATTTTGAGAGATGGGAGATGGGCGCTACTTATTTAAGAGAATACCCACATTTGTATTTTGTGCATTTTGCCTGCAGGACGGTGCTTTATGAGTGCTGCCCTGGGTACATGAAG